GGATGGTGGAGAGAGGGGGCATGCAGGGAAAGCTTTCTGTAAACTATTTTAAGTACTGTGCATCTGATCCTGCTGATATTCATTCAGAAGAGAATCATTGTTTACGTAGCGGTTTAACAGGTTTTTGGTGAAACTTGACACTGCGTTTTCGATTTCCTTTTTGGATAGCATTTAAATTCATTCACTATGTCCAAAACAAACATAAATCCCTGTCAGCAGTAACAAAAGAGAGAACAACTGCTTCCTTTTGAGGTAATCAGCATATTTAGACGAGTCCACGAGAGAAACTCTTGATAGGTAGTCAAATGTTTTGCTTGTGTGGATAATAAAACGAGGAGGAGACAGACTAGCACGTGCCGTAAACACCTGATAACGACATGTAGAAATCAGCTGTTTATGTAAATGATGCACTTAGAGACATTTATCATTTTAATTTAGTAGCTTTCTTTTGTCATGTTTTTCTTAACTGTCGCTCCTGTGCAGTATAAGGAGAAAGCACATATATAACTTACTAAAGTGATGGCATTAGATAACTTGTAAACCAGACATGCAACAAACCCAACAGATGGCCCCTTTAATAATTAAATAAGCACTGATGTTTCTTTTTTAAACCACACTTGACCCTACCGATGAATCTAGTAACGTTTGATTGATTTAAATAACTTGTGCCTGACAATTATATACTCAGTAATTCCCCTTTTAGTTTGACACCAAAGTTAAGGGATACAAATGTTGGAATAACCCAGCGTATTTGTACTTAATAAATGTTTTTTTATATTCCTTTTAGTTAGCAATTCACTTTCCCTTATTATCCTTTCCCAACTCGCCTCAGTTCAACACTGAATACATGTAAATGTTTTTAGGCAGGGGGGGGGGGGGGGGGGGGGAGTGTGTGGGAAAGACACTTTGGGATTTTAGCCTTTGCAGACCATTTACATGCACACAAACCCATATACCACACTACCAGAATAATAGGACCCTTTAATCAGAGGTAGTGCTGCAGATTATTGTGCCGTTTGCTCCTGTGGGTAATGTCCACAGTATTGACATTTACACGTCTAATATGTGTAATATGTAATTGTAAAGCGCTTTGAGCACCTGTAAAAGCGCTCTAATTAAAAAATGTAATCCATTATTATTATTATTAGTGTATATCTAAAGCTTTAATTTAACTTATTGTATCTCTGGATGCAAATACAGCTGTCTCAGAAGTATAAAGTCTAACTGCAGGCAGAGATGTTCACAAGTCTTTTTTTGCAAGTCCAAGTCAAGTCTCAAGTCTTTGGTCACGAGTCCAAGTCAAGTCTCAAGTCTTTGTGGGGTGAGACTTGATCAAGTCTCAAGTCTTTGGTCACGAGTCCAAGTCAAGTCTCAAGTCTCTAAAAAATAAAAGTCTCATGTCTCTTCTGGTTGTAATAAGCCTTCTATTGTCTGCTGCTATCCAGTCTGTTAAGAATACTGCACAGCTATATCTAAGAAATTCAAAGCATTTACTGTATCATTATCACTCCTATATCTATTAGCATACAGTATCAGTACTGATTAGTTGTTTGTTATATGATCACTTTAAACAGGCTATTGCAATGCAATATGAGGAAAAACATCACAGTTTAGCTAAATGCAAACAACTTATAAGCAAAACACTTCAGAATCAGAATCACAAATACTTTATTAATCCCCCGCAGGGAAACTGTGTTAAAAGTACTTAAAAGTAAACATTTGTTCTGTGCCATTTGCAACTAAAAAAACTATTGCTGCAATATTATCTGAAATATACTGAACTGGTGATATTAAAACATGACCTGTTCCAAAAGAGATATCTACCATTAACACCATTTACCAGCCAAATGCTGGTAAATCATGCAAGTGGCTGGTACTGTATGTTGCACGCACCAGCCACAAATAACAATGGCAATCTATTGAGTGGCTGGTAAAATTTCAACATTCACTAGGCTAGCCATTTGGCCAGTGGACAAAAATGTTCAAATTTGACCTCTGCAACTGTATTGTTTAATTACACTGGGTCTCTAATGACATCTTTTAAATCTACTATAAATAAACATATTCCTCTATCCTCTCACTCAAACCCAGTGTAATGGTAACCTGATAAACGTGTAACATTAACGTTACGTGGTCAACAATAAACCTGTAACCTGCCTATAAACCGACAGATGTATTTATGTATGTAACTATGTATTTTTCTACGTTTAACGTTAGCCAGTAGATGGTGGCAGCGGAACGTAATGATTAACGTTACCGACCTTTTTTATGTCATGTCAAGAGTTGGATGTCAACGCCACTCAACGCAAACAAGTGTGACAAGCAAACATTCACTCATCTTTTCAAATATTCAGTTACAAAGCTAGTAGCAAGTTAAGTTAACATTACATAGCTGATGCTGAGCTAAACATGTTTGCTAACCGTCCATATGCGTTAATGTGACTGACCTCTCCGGGTGAGTTTTCAAGTGCCTGATGACATTTGACGTTGTTGCACCAGCATCCTTGATTTTAATATTGCAGACTTTGCAGTGTGCGCTCCTTTTTTTGGTGCCGCCGGCGTTTTGTTCGAAGTTTTTTATAGTTGAACCTAATTACAAGCGGTACAGCTGCAGGTGTGCCGCCGGTCGCCATGGTGTTACCATGATGTTAATGTTAATGTTAAAGGTGGGGTAGGTAAGTTTGAGAAACCGGCTCGAGATACACTTTTTGTTATATTCCATGGAATGCTCTTAACATCCCGATAGCCGGCCCGGCTAAAGTAACTGGATGGCCTACCTGCCTGTCAGCCTCCCATCGGGGCACAAACTTATCTCGTGCCCTCATTGGTCATGTGCGCGTTCGTGTGTGTTGGAGGAGGGGCTCTGTGAGGAAGTGGCAGATTTTCTCCGGTTGTGTATTTTCAAATTCTAGCGATTTCGAGCCGGTTTCTCAAATTTACCTACCCCACCTTTAATACGCCAAAAATAGAAAACACAATGATTGTTCACGAGTCCCAAAACACGAGTCCAAGTCGAGTCCGAAGTCTTTTGAGCAGGAGTCCAAGTCAAGTCTGAAGTCTCTGTGTGTGCGACTTAAGTGTGACTCGAGTCCGAGTCACAGACTCGAGTCCCCATCTCTGACTGCAGGTGATGCATTCAAACACTGAGCTATGGTTTGAACGTAGCACCTGCAGAGACAGTGATCTACAGTTGAACTGTTTCCACCCCCTAAGGGAGCTGTGTTCGTTCAAGTTTTCGAAGAGGCAGAACGACATCACAAAGGAATAATAACATTCTGTCACAGATAAATCAGGAGGGAGTTTGTTGTGAATGTATCCTCATTATATTATATTTAACTCCCGCACATGTGCCCAGGGCTAGTTACATGTTTACCAGCTGTATTTGTCTTGGCAAAAAATGCAATTACAAGGGTAAATATATATTTTTGGAAGCAGTAAACCTAAAATCTGTCAAGAAAACTTCTTTCAGACGCCAACACTGTCCACAGTCCTTCGTTTTTATTGTTGTCAGATTTGAGTGTTTTCTATTCCAGGTGTTTTGTTATTTATGTATAAACACTGAGCTGGAAAGATTTTATTAATTTTATAGTGTTTTGATTGTAACAATGTTTCTGGTCTTTGAAAATTACCATAATGTTGGAAAAGACTAAAGAATAATCTATTGATATATTTACATATACTGCATTTATATTAATGTAACCTAACATGGTTCAGTCCATAAAACGTGTTTATGGTGCTCAAATCTTGAGGGCAGGAAGGTGGGCGGTAAAAGGTTGAATTATTTTGGGTTTGTTTGATTTGTTTAGTGTGTGGAGAAGCTGGCCTACAGTGAAATTGCCTTTTTTCTTTAGCTATCAGGTATTTAAGACCTTAATCTGTGTCCCGACTACTTCATGTTACATTACCAAATGAACGTCAGTTTGGTTGGATGTAAGAACTGTTTTAACTGGTTCCCTTACTTTACAGGTCATTAGGTGACTGTATGAACGATTCGTTTTTCAACCACACAACCTTTTTCCCACATTTTCGACCCTGATTAGTCGCAGCGATTGAAGTGAGCTGTTATTCCTGTTTAGGTCATGTTATATCCAATCCTTTTAGAAATCTGAGCCACACCTCTGCCATCAACCGGCCTGTGCGGGTCATTACCAAAGGCTTTCAGATGTGCACTTCCCCGAAAAAGTTGTTGGATCAGAAGTTATCAGATTTGGAAGGATGGCAGTTACAAACATTAAAGGCGGCAGTGTCCCTGCGGCACTGACAGGAACATGCGTGGCTGCCTGTGAATGTGTGAAGGAAGGTGTCGATGGTGGAGGGAACACATGATGATGTTTATGCTGGCACATCAAATGGTGATAAGATGGAGGGGAATGTGCAGACAACATGTCTTTAATGTGTCAGCGTCTGCTCATTAACATATGTTGTGGGCGCATGTTAGTGCTTTCACTAGACATTTGTAATGACATGTTTATTTTAGGGATTAAAGAATGCAACAGCAACATTGGCTGAATGGTGAGACGACCCAAATTATGTATCCCTTGTCTCTTGTAGAACCAGCCATGCAGAATTTTAGATGTACTAAATAATATAATAAATAAAAGGTGAATTGTATTTTATTTGTTTCCCCAATTTGCCCAGCATTGCGTCTTTCCTGTAACAATACCTTTGACAATCCACAGATGTCATTGTACATTTCTTTCACAGGAACTATTTATTTGGTAGAAAGTAGATCAGGTTGAAACACCTGAGAGGGACGTCTGTGATCTCTAGAAAAACAAGTTGCTACTGAAGTTTAAAATGTTTTCATTGCATTGTGGCGATAAGATCTCTGAGATTTTATCTGAGCAACTCAAATATCTGCATGGCTACAAACTACTGAAGCAAAGAAGAACACTATGTAGTATGTTTTATTGCTGTTTTTTTAAATGCAGCATGTTTATGATAGGTTGGAACAATAACCTGCACCCATATCATAGTTTTTAGTCTTTTATCACTCTCACCTCCGCATACAGTCCAAAGCTCGGATGAAGAAGTCCTTGCTGAGCTGGTGTTCGTCGCGCAGGAGGGCACACTGCTCCAACGTGACAGACATGGAGGTCCGGTCTTTGGCACTTTTACAGCTGGTCAACCTGATGCCATTTAACCTTCGGCAGATCTGGAGGCAAAAAGATAAATAAATACTCAATGTTTACATCCATCAATGATGCAAACTGTTTGGCAGTGACTAATCTTGCAAAAAGACTGATTTGGTGTGTGATATTTGTTCTAACTCCACAGATTATTGACACAGTAGTGTAGTTGTATAAGTGGATAATTTATAGTTAACACGGCATCGCTTTTCATTGCTATGCAGACGATTGCCAAAATATGTGCCACTTAAATAAGAACGACTCACACTCAATGAAACCACTGCCTTGAAGACATTAAGTCCTGGATGTCATGCAACTTTTTTAAATGAAATGATGACAAAACCGAAGTGATGGTTTTTGGTGCCCCTCGGACCACTCCTATATACCTAGGATCCTTGGGCCTCTCCACCAGGCCTACCATCACAAATATTGGGATAAAGATGGACCCTGAACTCAAGCTGGACAGCCAGATCAAGGCAGTTGTTAAAAACAGCTTCTTCCACCTCAGGCACCTAGCCAAAATAAAGCCTTTTTTAAATAGTGACCTTTTTGAAACAGAAATCCATGCCTTCGTCACCTCCCGCTTGGATTATTGTAAAGCACTATATATTGGGATAAGTGCGTCCTCCCTTGCTCGCCTGCAGATGGTACAAAATGCAGCAGCACGGCTACTAACTGGCACACGCAAACACAAGCACATTTCCCCCATTTCAGCTTCACTCCACTGGCTGTTCATTCGTGGATTCATTTTAAAACTCTTTTATTTACTTTTAAAGCCCTCAATGGCCTGGCCCCGCCCTACCTCTCTGAGCTGTTACACGCCCACTCGCACTCTCAGGTCAGCTGATCAGTTGCTCCTGAGGGTGCCAAAAACCAAGTCTACGCGCAGAGGGGACCGTGCTTTCTCTGCTGCCGCCCCTAAACTGTGGAACGACCTGCCCTTGCTAATCAGACTCCCATACTGTCTGTTTTTAAATCTCGTCTTAAAACCCACCTTTTCTCCTTAGCATTCGTAAACAAGTAGAATGTTGCTTTTATTTGCTTTCAGTGGTCTATTGTTTTTACTATATGGTTGTTTTTATTTTGTAATTGTTACGTTTATTCTGGTTTGTTTTGTGTTCGTATCTTTTATGTGATTTTATACTTATTTTTATGTTCTGTGAGCTGAGCTGAGTGATTTTATATTTGATGTATCTCTCTGTACAGCACTTTGGTCCGGAGGTTTTAAAGTGCTCTATAAATAAAGTCGGATTGGATTTGTGTGTTTGAATGTTTATACAAAGGCCTATATTCCAAGTACATATTGCTTTGACCTCATTTGGATAAAAGTTTTTTTGGACACTCCCATAACAAATAGCCTGAATGTTAGGTGTATTTTAAACCAGGGTAACAACATCAATATATGGACGACAGTCAAACGTCATTGAGTAACAACTTTTAGATAAATCAGGAAAAAACGATGTGGAGGAGTTCTTGATCCCCAGAGGATGAATTAAAACCAATTTGTATTTGTTCAAAACTTTGGTTTGCGACAAATGATATATTCATTATATTAGGGCTTTGTACCTATTAGCAAATGTTAGCATGCTCACACACCAAACTCAAAGTCATCATGGTTGTAGCCTTGTTTTAACTTCTAGAAACACAAGCGCTGTAGGAACATGTTCAACATTCTGTGTTCATATACGAAGATCAGGTAAAAGGTCAGCGTCTATACAGTATCATTTTCAGTCAATCCATCATGCTCATGCAGGTTAGTTGGAAGCCCATGATATATTAATCTGTCAAATACTAAGCTTCATCTAAGAGTATAAAGAGTTATGCAGGAGAGGATGGTTTTTTTGTACGCTTCAGAGACATCTGTCTTCCTTGACAAGGACTTATTGTTACAATCAAAACACTGCTCACCGTTCCAGCAATCCATAGTATCTCCACATTCTTCCTCTTCTTTGTAACTACATTCTGGCCCAGGGTTTCAAGTAATTCCTTGATGTCGGTCTGTGTCTGGTAACACGGTAGACCTATTCACAGAAAGCACAAAACACATTGCCAGTGAGAGGTTCCGTTGATGCTTTGTTCTGCTGGAAGTCAAAGTTTGAGACCAGGCTGAATGCAGCTTCCTTTGGATTCACTTGTGAAGGCAGACAAAAGAAGAAACAACACTTAACACACATTGTTGCAGACGATTCAAAAGTTATACGTTTCGAAGGCTTTATTTTTCATAAGCACAATGGCTACAGCAAGGTTTGAGCAATAGAAATCTTAACTCTCAAGCTTCTCCAACAACAAAACCTAAGATACAATCGATTAATAGACTTAAACTAGTGCAAAAGACGAGATTGTTCAAATAACTATAATTGATTAAAATTCAAGATGTGCTTCCTAACAGTTTTAAACAATTATTAGCCCACATCTTTGTAACTGTACATAAGAGTTAGTTCACTTACATTCTAGTGGCACCTTTTCACTTAATGACTTGTAATAGGCTTCTAACATCTCAAAGTTCCTCTGGTTTATTCTTTCCTGTAGAGAGATATCTCCAAATCTGAGAGGAGGGGAGGAAGAAAATAGGCGGTTGTGGTGGAGCATCTCATAAAAACTCAATACAACTTCAATCAACAGCTTATCACTAAAAGTTACAATATAGCCAAGTACCAAAGCAATTGTTTAACATAACAAAGATGGAAATCCAATGTAACGGTTAAAATATGAGAATAGTTGAATTTTTTTTCCAGCTAAATAACAAAAGTAGATGCAACATATTAAATATTTATGAGAAAATGCAATTAGAGGTTTGAATGCCTCCTACTCAGAAGGATTATCTTGAAATGTAAATTTAGATGCACTTTGCAAGAATAAGAAATAAAGAACAAACCGTGCGTGACTCTTTATGTTATATACATGAGATTGAACCAGATAGACGCTCTGGATCTTGTCATATTGATTATTTGAAGACAAGGATAGCACCAGGTGTGAGTGAACACTGTCTGCAGTACCTCTCTGCTATCGTCTGCTGCTCATTGATGCCCACGTTAAACAGCACCGGGAACACTCGCAGAGGCTGGCCCCCCCTGATCTCTTCTGGCAAGGTCTGGAAAACCAGGCGTGGTAATGGCACTTCTACAAAGAAGTGGTCTCTGAATGCATGGAGAAAAAGAAATAGAAGGTTAAAGAGAGATTTGATGAGAGAATCATTAAATGGAAATCCAAAACGTTCTGCAAAAAGCTGTACAATTGACTGTTGAGACTCGCCTGAGCAAGCTGTAAAAACAGAGACTTAAAGTGTGTGTATGCATGAGAGAGAGAGAGAGAGAGAGTGTGAGAAACAGATTGCCTTACACATAAAGGGGGGCGTGGCAAGAGGGGTGTATCATATTATCACACTTGGCATCATGTGCATTGTATCCAGTCAAATACACTCGCTTGACCTCAATATGACAAATGTTATTGGCTTAAAAGCACATATATGTAACCCCCTGACTTCCTGAAGAAATGACGTACTAGTTAAAATGTGGATTAAAGTTCACTTCGATTGAAAAGACTGAGCCATGTTCTCATTACAGGCTGTATATAACATTTGGGCTGCGAGGCACACTGTGCATTTCACAGGTCACTCGGGGCTTTGCTTGGCCCTAACAGCTCATACCATAGACAACGCATTGCTATAATTTCGTTCTGCACAAACAAACACATCCGCTGTTGTAGGAATTCTAGGCAGAGCTAGATAAATCACATGTGATGTAAATAATCATTTTAAGACAGCGGATAATAAATCATACGTAACAAATCAAGCCCTGTGGTTTGCAGCTTGATTCAGAGGCTGCACGTGAACACATTTTCAGCACAGTGGAGAATATAACAAATGACAAGTATAGCATATTTTTGAACTATTGTTCACATACTCATATGTCTCCATAACATCATAAGAAGTTCATTTGAACACCTCTGCCTTTTCATAGTGTGGTAAATATTTGATGTGGAACCTGTTGTTGTAAAAACAGTACACTAAAATAAGTTTCCGATTCCGACTGTGTGAAAATCAAGACATGGAAAAGGAGGTTTCACAAGTTGGCCAGAATTAACAGATTCCTATAAAGAGGAAATGGCTAAACCATAGAAAATAAAGCTTTGGACAGTAGAGTAAGTAAGAGATTGTGCTTTTTGCTCTGACACTGTGATGTTGTGATGTTTAGCATTCATCTGTTTGCATCCCACATATTTTATTTTCACCAAAATAAGCAGTATTTTAACCTTGTTTCATCTTTTTCTATTTTACATGTATATCATTTAGTTACCTTCTTACACATACCTGCACACTGGTCACTTGCAACATTCTCTTGCACAATTGTACTTTATTTCTGTTCTTCTTGCACTATTTATTATTATTTTATTGTTTATAATAATAATAATTCCTTACATTTATTATAGCGCTTTTCCAGATGCTCAAAGCGCTTTACAAATACACATTACACATATTTTTTATACATGCAATGGTCACTTTATGTCTTACATATACATATGTTGCATTGCTGGAGGAGCCTGGGACTTAACACTTTCATTGCCATAACTATACTGTAGCTACTGTGCATATGACAACAACACCTTTGAATCTTGAATCATGTTCAGGTTTGAAAGTCCCTCGTTGCATGTTTTTTGGAGTTGAATTTGGTTTTAATCACTACATGACCTGTGCAGTAGTGAGTAATTGAGAGATGTTGTCTCACCGTCGGCCACACACTAAAGGCTGGAGGTCACTGAGGTCATCTGTCTTGGCCTCTGTGATCTGGAACAGAACTCTCTGCAGGTCTGAGACCCCCACCTCCATGTCCTCCAGCATCCCGATCTCCTCACCTTAAACGTTTCCACAAAACCACATTAGTAGTGATTTACCTCCTGCGCATCACGCGTCTGTAGTCATTCAAAAGGATGGTAGATAACAACAAATTAAACAAGCACTACACCATCAAGGTCTTGAGAAAAAACGACTAGGAGACACATACTATTCAGAAACTGCCCTGAATTTGAGCGACAGAGGGCTTGTTTTCATTATAAAACTGGGTTAGATGTTCTGTCCTTCAGTCCTTCAGCTGTTCACGCAGTTTCCGCACGTTGCACTTTGTGAATTATATTTCTGTGAAAGGTGCTATACTAAATAAACGTATTATTATTAGTGTTCTTTATGTAACTGATCAATCTACTTCACTTCCTTTAGAGCTGTACAGTGAGCTTTGGCAGAAAGATCTTGAAAGAAATTGCAATCATGTAGCTGCAGGTTACTGTGTATTGAGCTGATACAAATTGAACTATGACACTGTGGCAAACCTTAAACTGGAACATGTTGTATAAAGGGAGTATACTTTAAAAGCGCCTGTAATAAAGGCGAAACGGTGACTCATCCACCTGCTAGGAGTTTTGAACATATTTACTCATATTTACTCGTCACGTTACCCAGGCTTTGGCAAACCAATCTCCACATCTTTGCCAAATGTGAGTGTGGTCGGCTGAATTATTGAGTTATTGTCCGTTCTGAATGATCCTAGAAATGAACTCACTGTAGGTGCTGAGCAGACTCTCGAACTGGGCCACCAAGCCCACCAGATGAAGCTGCTTCAGGAAGCCTTGGTCCTGCATTCCTGCATACAGCCTCATCACAAAACCACAGGCTAAGGCTGCCAGCTGTTAAACACACACACACACACACACACACACACACACACACACACACACACACAACACACACACACACACACACACACACACACACAACACACACACAACACACACACACACACACTACACACACACACACACACACACACACACCACACACACACACACACACACACACACAACACACACACACACACACACACACACACACACACACCACACACACACACACACACACACACACACACACACACACACACACCACACACACACCACACTACACACACACCACACACCACACACACACACACACACAACACACACACACACAACCGACACACACACACATTTAAGTAACCATGTTTGTGGACGTTTCACATTCATTTCCAAACATTTGGTCTACCTATGTTGCAAATGTAATATCTTTTCGATTTACACACGGCATCTATTGCACGTCTGTCCGTCCTGGGAGAGGGATCCCTCCTCTGTTGCTCTCCCTGAGGTTTCTCCCATTTATCCCTTTAAACTGTGGTGTTTCTCCGGAAGTTTTTCCTTGTACGATGTGAGGGTCTAAGGACAGAGGGTGTCGTATTGTAATTGTAACAAACTGTGAAGTCCACTGAGAGAAATGTAACATTTGTGATATTGGGCTATATAAATAAACATTGATTGATTGATTGATTGGTTTCTCTTGCCCAAAATAGTATGCGAATAAAATGTGTGAGCCTGCTTCATGTCACTAGTAACAGGGGGGCAAAGAGCAGCGAGTCTCAGCTGGAACTAAATCTGAGTTGTGTTTCATTAATGCTGAACGGTGTCGTAAATTCTTTGGTAGGGCTTTTTATGGGTTGTTTTTAAGTCACCAGTGGAGTATAAAACCTTCTGTAAATACATAGATCCTGTCGGAGGAAAATTCTAAAACTTTTGGAAGTAATATTTTAAAGTATTTTGACTTGAAAAACGTTTTAAAGTTGTTTGGGCAAGCTAGGATAAAGTTTGGACTTTGCACGACACAATTAAACAATAAATAGCTTGTTGGACATTTGAATCTCCAAAGTGAGTTTTTCATGTCTTTTAAACATCAGCATGTGTCCCCTCTGTGTAAAGAGACTCTGAAAGTTTCAGGAAAAAAGATTCTCTCTCTTTTTGTCTTGATCTATTTATATAAAAACCTGATCAGATTTTGGCCACTTTATGATGTCATAACGATTTGTTTGGCTTGTGTAACCATTAGCCAATTACCAACCAAGGTAACCCCCCCCCCCCACCTTATCACCTGAATCTCCTCCTAGAGCACCATTGTGTTATTTTCCTGTTCTAAATCTAAGTATTATCTGTCAGTTACCACAAAGAACCTGAACAACCCTAGAAAATTCTGGAAAGCCATAAAATCGATATCCATCGGTGATATCCGTAATGAGCTACCTCCGTGCCTTACCACAGTATCTGGCACTATATCGGATAGGGCCACCATACTAAATTGTTTTAATGAGCATTTTGTGTCCTGTGGCTCTCTGTTTCATTCTGTTTCTAATTCTGCTTCTGTGAACACCACAGTCGGTGACTCAGAACAATGTGGTCTGGAAAACCCTTTCAGTTTTACTCCTTTTACTGTTGATGTTGTTCGTGAAATCTTAACCAAGTTAGATCCTAAAAAGCCGGCTGGTCCGGACAACGTAGAACCTTTCTTTTTAACCTCTCCCTCAGCACGAACAAAATCCCAAAAGTATGGAAGTCAGCTTATGTCCTGCCACTACTAAAAGGAGGGGAGGCCACCTTTTTAAACAATTATAGACCAATCTCTAAATTGTCAGTTCTGGCGAAGGTTCTTGAACGCCTAGTGAGTGAACAGGTAAAGGTGTTTTTATGTAACAATGACATCCTGTCTAAACATCAGTCAGGCTTCAGAAAGCAACATAGCACCATCACTGCCACAATGAAAGTGGTAAATGATATTACGAGTATTTTAGATAATAAGCAGAGTTGTGCAGCTCTATTTGTTGACCTTTCCAAAGCTTTTGATACTGTCGATCATCGCATCTTAAAGCAGAGGCTACTCAGTATTGGCATATCCAGCCATGCAGTGGGTTGGTTTGTGAACTACCTCTCTGAAAGGTCCCAATGTGTTCAGTTTGATGGGCTGTCTTCTGAGTGGTTAAACATCACTAATGGTGTACCACAAGGTTCAGTTTTAGGTCCGCTATTATTCTCTATCTATATGAATAGTTTAGGTGAAAATGTCGAAGGAGCAACCTTACATTTTTATGCGGACGATACCGTTATGTACTTTGCAGGTCCCTCGATTAACGAGGCTGTTGTTAAATTACAGGCTGTTTTTAACATTATTCAGGCTCAGCTCTCTGAACTAATGCTTCTTTTAAATGTGGATAAAACCAAGGTAATGCACTTTTCGAAAGCTAAAGCTAAAAATACACCAGAGACTGCTTTGGATATTGTAACTACGCAAGAAATACAACTTGAAGTGGTTACCTGTTACAAATACTTGGGTATCTGGCTTGATGACTGTCTCACTTTTAAACTTCATGTCAATAACCTGCTTAAAAAGCTGAGGGTTAGGCTAGGTTTCTTTTACAGAAATAAGTCCTGTTTCTCGCTTGAGGCCAGGAAAAGGCTAGTCACTGTGACCTTTTTACCTGTGCTGGATTATGGTGATTTGTTATATATGAATGCACCTGCCAATTACCTGAGCAAGTTAGATGCTGCGTATCACAGTGCACTGAGATTTTTGACAAATTGTAAAGCACTTACGCATCACTGTACCCTGTATACCAAGGCGGTTATGCCATCACTTACTGTACGGAGGCTCAGTCACTGGTACTTTTTCATTTACAAAGCCATGTTGGATAAACTACCATCTTATATCTGCTCCCTGATCTCTCTGCGAATTGAAAGTACTTATTGCCTGAGATCGCATGCTGTGGTTTTATTAAATGTGCCAAGTGCTAGGACTGTCTTAGGGAAGAACGCTTTTAGATGTGCAGCTCCACTAACATGGAACAGTCTGCAAAAAGAATGGAAAATTACCAAGCTAGTACCACTACATGTTTTTAAAGCTCGGTTGGATGCTACCAAATCAGATGCTGTTGGTACCTGTACATGTGGTTAGATATGTAAATTGTAATCCCTGTACATTTTGCTTTATGATGTCCTTTTGTTGTTCTGTTGTTTATGTTTTTATGTCTTCTTGTGGACCTACTGCTGCAGGTCTCCCTTGAAAAAGAGATCATTGATCTCAATGGGATTTTACCTGGATAAATAAAGGTTTTGAATTGAATTGCATTTTTTACCACATCTCTCTCAGAGGGGCGAGGGGAGGGGCTCCTTATTTTCATCTAAAGCAACAGACAGAGAATCAGCACTTTTGAAAGAGGGCTGAAACAGAGGGGTTTATGGGATGCTAGTATTTCGAGCCAAACACTTCAGAGGCATGTTTTGTATATATCTGAGACCTATAATATATTGATGAAAAACAGTATAATAGTGGACCTTTAAATAAGACTGGTCATTGCTGAGGAAGTCGTTGAGTTCTTTATTATCATAGTGGCTACTTACTGCCTGACTGAAAACCACGTCGCGCCTCTGCTGGAGGAGGAAACCCTGGGGAATGCTGCAGGCCGCCTCCTGCAGCAGCACAAAGGTCATGGCTCTCTTTGCCTTCTCCACCACCTCCATCACACACTCCTTTAACCTGGTCACATGTGGACGCAGCTGCTCCCTCCACTCGCCTGCACACACAGATGGGATAACAAGAGTGGGAGATGGAGAAAGGAATTACAGTTATGATGGGGTTGTAAGGCATGTGTTCACAGCCAGAAACAACACACACACATTATCTGTGAGGTCAAACCGGATCAGACATTAACGGAAAGCAATTGCCAAACAAAAAGAAACAAAACCAAAAACACAGGAAATCAGTTATTTATTAAGAAATGCACAAAGTGAATAAAGGAAAATGCATACAATCAATTTGGTGTCTTTGATTCAATACATGCACTTATTTTGCTGTTTGGTTTTAACACTTTATAAATCATGTAAGCGCAACCATGAGTTTAGGTCACAGTCTGTATGGACGTCTCCAAGAAAACTGCTAATTTGTTTTTGTAGTGCAGCAGTGCAAAGTGTAAAGGGCTGGTAGAAATATAGATCAGATGGCATAGTGATACATATAAATAACCAGAATAAATACACTCACTGGTCCCACAGCTCTGAAACAGCTGTGCCAATCAGTGAAATATGACATCAACAATAGCTCTACGCTCCTCCAGGAAATTAAATTGTTGTCTGGGTAGAGGCACGACATGAACACGCAGCACCACCAATCTGCAGCCACAGGCAGATGGTGTGGGGTTTCTCAGCAGTTAATTAGTACACTGACGAAATAAATAAATCACTTTGAAAAATAGTTTGTTCAAGTCGTTTATATGATCGCACCAATACGAAGCCATTTCAGTCACAATCCTCCACTGCATTAAGTCCTGAGGGCTGAAACAGAGGGGTTTATGGGATGCTAGTATTTCGGTCACATCACTGATTGTGCTGTTATGTTAAATGTTCATGTATTGTGTCTGGATATATGTCTGTTGATGTTGGACATGGAGCTGCTGTGGCGCAAGCCAAATTTCAGACTTGATCTGAGAAATAAAGTAATATCGTATCGTACATCAGATCGTAATTGATCATTGATCATCAGCATTTGCACCAAACACATTTCAAGGATTCAACAACAAACACCATGTCTGAGAAAAGAAAATATTGGAATGGAGGCAACGATAAGCAGAATTAATGAGCCCCAGGAATCTGATGTCTCCTGCATAAATAAATAGTTATTACCAGCCAGTCTGATGTGTGTAGAGGAAGTGTTTGTTTTTTACGCATGTAATTTAATCAAGGTTAACACAGTGAACTGCCGTGTTTAATGGCAACATGCTGCAGACCGCACTTTTCAAATCAGAGCTGCTGATTTAACAACATATATTTAATGAACCCAAGAAGAAGAGTTTCATATTTATAACACAGCTGTTTACAACATATACTGTATGAATAACCCAAACATTGATGGATCAATGCAGACTGCTTTAATGGTGTTCCAGCTTTGTTGAAAGTTAATGTTTGATGCCAACATATTATCTTCTGTTAAAGAGTAAGTATTTAGTTTAAAAAGCCCATGTTGAAAGGAAACCAGACATCTCCCTTTCCCCTGCCTCATCTAAATGAGTCTCCTACCTCTGCATGCTGCATTAAAAAAAAACACAGACAGCAGAGCACATTTCAAGGTCAGGAAAATACCAAACTGTGCCCTGCTTGTTCTATTCATTGTACCACAAGAAATGAGAATAGAGACCCTTAAATGAACTGCCCAAATGCCTAATAGAGCCCTCACACTGTACCTTGGGTCAGTAAAGTCACCATGAAATTGCCTCTTTACTTCCTAATGTGCTGTAACTCATGTTGAAACAGGATGTTGGAGAGGAAAATAGCGCAGAGACAGATTAGTCGAAAGTGAAAGTCAATGGCTATGCTCCATTTGACACTGACAGTGTGCCAATGATTGTTTGTGGCAAGACTGGAGAAGCTGTTTATTATTTTTAGCTAACATTTGTTAACTGTGTTTTTCAGCTTAGCTCAACGCTCAACTAGTTTTCACACACTCCATTGTTGATGTGTTTAAACTGACTCAGGTTGATGGACAGCTTACTGACTTTTGTGAATCATTTCATTTCATGTTCTCTCTCTATCTTCCCACTGAACATATATAATCAAATCACAAGAAGTTGAGTTAATTAGGTCTGGGTAAACTAATTGGTTGAGTTTTCCATGTATGCCTTTAAACTACAGAATTATATAGCGCTTTTCTAGGTACTCAAAGACAGAACAGAAAGCATTATGAACTGACAGACTGACATGACGTGTGGGGGAGGGGTTGGACAGGAAGAAGCTAGTTTGAAGCGATAGGATTTGAGTGTTCGTATAAGGCTGGCAGGCTGGTTAAATGTCTGATGTACATTATAAACTGATCATTCTGTCAAAAAACAGCAAGCTCTGATATGAAACGGATTCAGTATGCATGCACACTTCTTAGACTACACTTAATATTGTACTTTTGCATACTCAAAAGCTGCTTAGAAACACTCATTAGGAATTGGGACAGAATTACTGTTTGATTTCATGGCGTCTTATTTCCTCAATCCAAAACCAGTTTATGATGATCCCCTCACTGGCCAAAAGGGGGCAGTGTTTATTAAGCAATGTGCACTCAGTTCAACTTCAACATATTGAAAAGTTATTTGCGATCAGTGTGGACACGCACACACAAACAGAGGCACAGACAAGCACAGTTGGATACCACTGATAATGTAAAGCACATCAGCCTTGCCCTTGCCTTGTCAGAAAAATCACGTCTTATCTCATTCTGCAAATATCGCCTCCGCACAGAGACGGAGGAAACAGAACTCAAGCTGTCATTTCCTCGCCTGCCCACCTGTCCAAACATCAAAACCCCCACAACGCCTTGTCATCAGAAGCCGGGCTTCACCGACATCCGCTCGCAGATAAAGTTTCTCTCATTATTCTGCCCATGTTTGTATTTAGACAGGCAGATGACCACTTGGGGGGGGGGGGAGGGGGTGAGCTTCTCTTTCAGGCAGAACACCGGACCCATGGCCTTGTTCTTACCGGGCAGCTCACACAAACCCAAATGCAGAAATACACAGGGGTGAACTAAGTAGATCTTATACCAATTAATCGTTATCGTTTCTCAACCAACACACTCCCGCCCTGCCTGAAACGTCTACATTGGACCCCTTTGCTTACTGCCGTAACATAGTGACATCGTCTGCTAGATCTTCACTTATTATAACATATTAATATTTATTTATTAGTTGATTTATATTTGATCAGTTAATAATCTGAATCTATAAAGTTACTAAAGATGAAAAGTTAAAATGTAGTGTACAACATAAGCTTCCAAAATGGAGTGGACAAGTATAAAGTAGCATACAAAGAATATACTCATTACATGGACCTACTAAGTAACTATACCTCTCACCACTAGGAAAACATGCCCAACCTGATACAAATGCACCAACACACACACACACAGTTAAACACACACAGCACACACACACACACACACACACACACACACACACACACACCACACACACACACACACACCACACACACACACACAACACACACACACACACACACACACACATCACACACACACACACACACACACAACACCACACACACCACACACACACACACACACACACCACACACACACACACACACCACACACCACACACCACACACACACACCACACACACACACACACACCACACACACACACACACACACACACACACACACACCACACACGAGTGCCAGTTGGCAGAAGTTCCAGTCAGCTCTTGTCTGGACGTAGGGGCAGGATTTCAGCGGGCGAAAGGGAGGAGTGGGCAGCTTGCGGTCAGCAGTGAATGGCTCTGCATATCAAATATTGCTTTCATCCAATTATCTGGCACCCATTTATGTTCCTCTTCTGCTAATGCCTACACTGCAGGGAGCCTCTAAGTTGGTCCAGACTCCTGTATTACTCAAGCTGTAGATAAACACAGACTTCAATGTTGTCTCCCTCAGTGGAAATTCATGTTTATCTTGGTTTGTATAAATATTTGGCCAAAAAGCCATTTATAAGCTCAAAATAGCTAATGTTTTGGAGGAACAGGAATGGAAAATAGCATTTGTTGCCAATGATAATGATGGATACATTAAAGAGAATTATGCATTATACTACAGAGAAAGTTACCTGCTATGACGCATCACAGTTTAAGTGATGAGGAAAAAACGACTTCTTAAACGGGAAGATTTTATGAATATAAGCAGGAAGTCATTAAAACATTATCTTTTTAATATATTTTAAAGTTCAACTTTTTGTATTTTTTCATAGTTTTTTTCGGTCAAGATGTTTGGATTTATCTCTGTAGGTACGGTTATCCAAAAGTTACGTTTTTTAAGTACATACTGTGTATATCTTTTAAACATTAAGTTATTTTTGGGTTGTGTTTCTGCTGCAATGAAATGGACCAACTATGTAAATAGCAACAACACTTTAAGTGGCTGATGTATTAGTCTAATTTAGATGACAGTAGATTATTGCTTCATTCAAACATAGGCAAAACGTTTTGGATAGTGAAGGGATGAATGGATGTCTATTATAATTCAATATAACTTTCATGCTGTGGTGACTAATGCTTTTGAATACTGACCTGCTAACATCAAACAACAAGTGCATGGGCACAATAAAACCCATCTGCAGCATAGACATACTCAGCCTCAAAGATGTTTCACTGACGGATGGTTGTGCTTCACATAAACAACTTATTTACCGGGGTGGTGTGAGGTGATGACATCGGCGAGCTGCTGCTCAGGGGCCGGCTCCTGCCTGCTGCCGTCCTCCTCCTGGAGTTTATCCACCATGGCGATGACACAGTTGAGACATTTGGCCACATTTGCCCACACCCGGTCCTGAAGGATCCGAAAACACAATCAGCAGTCAGATCAGACTCCCTGATTAGATCTTTCTCACTCCGTTTCAGAGGAGAGGGGAATTGAGTAAACCAAAATGTGTTACAAAAACGGTTGAAGCGGCTTAAAGCATAACAAATAACTCGCATATGTGTAAGAAAAAAGCGTTTCCATTTGCAGTCTTAACTGGCGTTGTATCCAAAAGGTCAAAAGGAAATGACTGTCTGGGTATTCTAAGATTACTCTCAAAGTATTTTAATTGTTTCCATATTTCACTCAAACTGACTGACTAACTAAATTGATGCTTTCACTTTTGTGTGCACAAATATGACAATTTAAATGTGTTTGAGAGTAATTAAGCGGTGGTGTGTATTTCTATTCTTTCGTGCTTAAACAATTGTTTGAACACGATAGGGAATTTATTTGAGTGATAATTAGGGCAGAACACAGGCAGTCACACTCCTGCTGTCAGTGAGGCAGATGCTGTGCGCACACGCTAACACACCAACAGTCATACACACTTTATTGAAAAGAAGCAGCATGACTTAAGATTCAATGACAAGGTTACCACAACAAATAATCTTCTGCAGGATGTTTGTCTTGAAGAAAATGTGGAAATGACTTTGAGAAAACTCATTAAATTAGAGTAATATCTGGTATACTGTACAATCACATTTTTTTGCAGAAATGACCTGTCATTACGTTAAATGTCTCCTATTATACTGTTTTACATCAATATATTACAGGTCTCAGATATATGCAAAACATGTCTCTGAAGTGTTTGGCTCGAAATACCAAACATATCATTGCAGCATTACCCATAATCCCCTCTGTTTCAGCCCTGTTTCCAAAGTGCTGATTCTCTGTCTGTTACTTTAGATGAAAAATAAGGAGCCACTCCCCACGCCCCTCTGAGAGAGATTTGGTTAAAAAGAACACAATGGTGCTCTAGGAGGAGATTCAGGTGATATTTACCTTGGTTGGTGATTGGCTAATAGTTACACAAGCCAAAAACATTATGACATCATAAAGTGGCCAAAATCTGATCAGCTCATTTTCAGACAGGTTTTTTTATATAAATGGATCAGGACAAAAAGAGAGTGAATATTTTTTCCTGAAGCTTTCAGAATCTCTTTACACAGAGAGGACACATGTTGATGTAGAAGAGACATGAAAAAGTGGATTTTGCACAAGAGGTGACCTTTAATATTTGATCGCCCTGTGAGTTCTACTGGATAGTCCAAATGACAAAACTAAAAAAGTAAACAAAACTCCATAAAAGTTAAGATTTTAAACGTTCTCTCAAAGCCTTCAAAAAGTGTTCACGCTCACCCATTCCTCCTCGTCGTACTCTTTATGGTGCGGTATGGAGTCTTGGTGCTTCAGTGTCCCTCCTTCTCCTCTGGTCGTGGTTTGTGACGCCTCCACGTTATTACACCCCGCAGGGCTGTCAGTGATGGATGTAGCCGGGCTGTGGCCTGGGAGTCCCTGGACCGGGCTCTGGTTCTGGTCGCTGCCCTGGTGGATGTGGCCTTGATGCTGGCCCCCCTGCACCGGGGTCTGCTTCTGGTTCTTGGAGACATACCCAGGCCGCGCTGCATGCAGAGCCAGCAGAGCACTGTTGACCAGCTCATCTTTAAGTGTGTGAACAAATTGTTCTGTCTGTAGCAAAGAGGGGAATAAAGACAAATACTGAAAGTTATTGCGAGGAAAAACCACCAAATAAAATATGGGCGTTGGAAAAGAGGCAGAGTGGGGATAGAGAGAGATTGTCACATCGGCAGGGTGAGTGGGTGGAAGAACATACAGCGAGCTTTATATACAGAGAAAGTGAAGAGTAATAAGGAAAAATGAACACTGCCGTTCACCATGAAGTAGCTGCTCTCCTTTACTGCAGCTCAGCCGGTGAGCAACAAAAACAGCAACAAACAACAAACAATTCAATTACTCGTCATCCAGCCTGCTCCTCCGACGAGCGCGCCTCCTTTGATCTCAAATTCACCAGCTACTCTAAGTTGATGATGATCCCGGCACCAAGCAGCCTGACGCTCGCAGCCACCTCTGCATAGAAAATGATATGGGCTCTCAAGAGTAATTGAGTCAGCACTGCAATAAGCAATTGTATTACCACCACAGTCTAACAAAACATGAGGCAGGCACTCCATGAACAGAGACTGCCGAGGTCAATGCAGACATATATTTGCCTCGTCCTTTTTCCTGCGTGCTATCTAGCTGATCTAGCTGATGTGAAGAAAGCAGCGAGCTAGTTGAGACTGCCAGACGTTGAGGAGATAGATTAGTCAGCAGAGAAATACATATCCAAGTGAAGGCCAGAGCAGCCTGTCCCAGTATGAGAGCAGTGTGTGTGTGGAAGTCATAAGGAAGTGATTCTGAGATTTTTTAGCTTGTCCTTAAAATGAAGCAATGTCAACTTGTGACTGCTTCTCGTGTGCTGGATCACCTGTCAGCACTTTAGCAAAGGAGTGATTTCCATTTCTTTGATTGTGTTATTTGCGTAGTTTTCCATTACTCATCCAACTATTCAGGGTAACATTAGAAAAATGCATAACGGTTCAAAAGAACTGGAATAGAACAATTATATTTCATTCTTCTAATAGACCACCATACAGGGAATCACTAATCATACTTTTTGACGACACTAAAGGTCCGCAGCTGGCTCTGTTGAAGTGAAGAAATAAAGTTCAACAAGGAAGATCTTTACACACATTTAGATTTGTTTTCCATTGTTTGCAGAATGTATGCATTTTTTCCCTGATCCAATTGTCGCTGTCTATTATATTGAAAATTATAACATCATTATATTACAGGCATGAAAACGGGTCAGGAGTGAAAAAGGTGAGAAGGATATTATCCCTCTAGGGGGGTCCGGGGGCATGCTCCCCCGGAAGAACATTTTGAATATTCCATATTTTAAAGCATCAATCTGATGCATTTTGAGATGCATTTTTTTGCCAACCTGGGGAGAGCTGGAGAAACTTAACTTCAGCCATGAGTCAAAAATATTATGGCCTCCTTACTAAGTATTATCAGGGATGCAAACTCATCAGGTATGGAAAAGGTGACAAGGACCCGAGCCCCCCGACCCCACGGAATATCGGCTTTAAAATGAGGAATAACAGAGGATTTTAGCAGTCAGAACAACTAAAGCAGCAGTGTTAATAATAACAGAAACGCTAAAGAGTCACATCTAATAGAAATATATAAAAACTAGGGCTGTCAAACGATTAAAATGTTTAATCAGATTAATCACAGCTTAAAAATTAATTAATCATGATTAATCACCATTCGAACTATTTTCCAAAATATGCCATTTATTTATGTATATTGTTGTGGGAATGGAAAGAAGGCGGATATATCCATTTAACATACAGTATCTATGTTTATTATAACATTTTCTGCGTGTCAAAATGAAAGACAACCCACACACCTATCAATCATCAAACCGTGGGGTCTTATTTCATTACGTGTTGATTTCTATCAACGGGGGAGTACTTCAGGAAAGTCGACAGAGGGGGGGGGGCGGCGGCTCGTGGAGTACTTCTTGACCACAGAGTGTGAACGTTGTGATCAGCTGTTTTAGCGCAGTTCTCCAGTGAAGGGGGGGGAGTCTCCCTCCGCAGCCGGTTGGCGTAGTTTTGACACAATTCCGTTGTACAGACCGACGTTAACAGCAGCCCTGTCTGTGCACACGGAGACCGACTCTGTCGTCCGGTGATCTAACCGCCTTCTGGAAAAGCTTCACAAGTACGTCGGTACGCAAATGCGCTTTGTGACACAAGTGACGGTACGCATTTCAGATTACACACATAACCTGCGTACCAGTTATGTGCACCCCTGTACTACAGCAAAAGTATTCTCCGTCGGGACTTCCTGCAACAACACCACGCCGTTATCAAAGATGTTCTATTGAGAAGATGATCACTACGTGACAAAAGTTTTCAAAACCGTGGCTACTGAAATCAATCTTACTAACTGCTGTCTGTGCAATTTACTCCGCGCGAGTTGGCAGACTTTATTTTGCTTACTTTAACATCATTTTTCATGGTGGGGCTAAGCCATTTCTTGGTATGGGTGTAGCCTACCTCAGCCATACCCTGGCGCTGCCACTGGTGGCACGTATGGGGCGGGCCATTCTGCACATGCGTTAAATGCGTTAAATATTTTAACGCAATTAATTCAAAAAATTAATTACCGCCGTTAACGCGATAATTTTGACAGCACTAATACAAACATTTATTTTAATTGTGTAGCAGTCCGTTTATAATTTTGGCAGCACTGTTGAGCATTTTGAAAATCTATTGTCATGCCTCTGTGCAAGGCTTAGTCTTTCTATCTTTATGGCATCTGGTGTAAAGTAACTACATTCATAAACTCAAGTACTATACTTGGGTACAATTTTGAGATACTTGTACTTAATTTAAGTATTTCAATGTTTTGCTACTTTGTTCTTCTTCTCCTCTACAGTTCAGAGGTAAATGGTGTACTTTGACTCCACTACATGTATTAATACCTTTAGTTACTTTACAGATGTGGATGAATGATAGTAAATCTAATCAAGTGTTAAATCAGACTTTAGTTCCACCTGGAGTAAATCCACCAGCTACCCTGCAGAATACAAAGTCATTCAAACTAGCTGCACCTTTACCAGCTTTGAGAACACTTTCATGATCAATCATTATAAAACATATCATATATATTATTCTGAAATGGACCAATCTGCACAACGACTATACTTTTACTGTCTTTCACTATATTTTGATGAGAATACTTTTCTACTTTCACTTGAGGAACATTTTGAATGCAGGACTTTTACTGTGACAGAGTATTCCTACACTCTGGTACTTCTACTTTTACTCAAGTACAAGATCTGAGTACTTCTACTTTTACTCAAGTACAAGGTCTGAGTATTTCTGCTTTTAATCAAGTACAAGATCTGAGTACTTCTACTTTTACTCAAGTACAAGATCTGAGTATTTCTGCTTTTAATCAAGTACAAGATCTGAGTACTTCTACTTTTAATCAAGTACAAGATCTGAGTACTTCTACTTTTACTCAAGTACAAGATCTGAGTATTTCTGCTTTTAATCAAGTACAAGATCTGAGTACTTCTACTTTTACTCTAGTACAAGATCTGAGTGCTTCTACTTTTACTCAAGTACAACATCTGAGTACTTCTACTTTTACTCAAGTACAAGATCTATACTTATACCACCTCCGTTTATAGCCTATGAAAAACTATTAGAAAACGAAGGTTAAAGCTAACGTTAGCAGATAGTGACAATGTATGCTAGCTTGCCCAACGATAATATTGCGACAGAAAAACTTTTCAGTTTACATCACGCTCTGCGCTCCGACAGGAAGCTCTGCTCTGAACACCTGAACGGCCCGTTGTAACAGCTGTTCACCAGCGGTCCAGTCTGTACCACAGTGACTCCGGACCGCACAGTTAATATTAACGAACGCACCCGTAATGTGGCTGCTGAAGCTAGACCATCATCGCGGAGCAGCAGAGCCGACAGGCAGGAAGACTCGAGCACACAGCTCGCGCTGCATTATAATATATAAAAAAAGAACACCATGCGTATCATGACGGCACATAACAGCTCGCGGCCGCAGATTACTCCGGGTCCCAGACCCCCCCCATACCCCAAAAATATTTTTATTGCAGATCTACATGAATCACACAAACGACCTATTTTGGATTCAAAACGGCGAATTTCGCCGAAAGGTGAGTGATTCTCATGCCTGATATTAACAGTGTTTCTCAAACTTTTTCATACCAAGGACTACTTAACCAATAAAAAAACACTTGCAGACCACCTAACTCCAAAAATCACATCATTTTTCTAGAACAGATTACAAATCGCCTGAAAATGATTAACAAGTGGCAACATGTGAGATGAAGGTGTTGCGCTGGGCTATATCATGCACTCAAAAGTGAAACTTAAGCTCGCTCCATTGCGGAGATATTCCCGCGAGAGTGCGGAAAACTTAATTTTATTTATTTATTTCAAATGTGAAATGTTACCAATATACTAACGGACCACTAGGGGGCGCTCACGGACCACACTTTGAGAAGCATTAAACGAATACAATATAACAATCTTTCTGCTTGTGTTTCTCGAGTTGTTTCAGTTCATTTATACAGTTAATGAGAAGTAGTCAAGGCTGATTTGAAATGGGCTTTTAGTCATCAGTGATGATCTCCACTGGCATTGAAGCCTCTCTGAAATCCGCCAAGGCTGTTCTGTCTCCATAACGTCCAATAATGTTTGTATCAGCTCTAAAATGTAAATGGTTCTTTTCTGGCACACATTAAACCCTTCCACTTCATGCAAATCGAGCCTGTAGTTTTTGCGTAATCCTGCTAAAAACAACAAACTTGACCACAAACATAGCCTCTTTGGGAGAAGTAAACAATGATGATTCAAGGACGATTCACTCCACTGAGTTCATCTTGAAGATTCTGCGTTCAGGACTTTTTTATATGAACTAAACACTTGTACCATCACCTACCTGCTGTCTTCATGACCTATCTGCTATCTTCATACTGACCTACGCTTAACGAAGACACTTAACATCAGTGGAGTCTACACTTCCACTTGATCTTTTCCTATTTAAACTAACACAGACTTGTTTCTTCTGTAACTTTGACCACTTTTCACAAATCTTACTCATTAGAGCTTTAACTGAGAAGAAGCTCCGCACTTACTTTAAGAGAAAATGTGACACTTTTCCTCTCATAACGCATCTACATAATATATTCTGGTTTAGCTGTTCTGCTCTTGACTTAAAATAATATTAAGGCTGTTTCCCACATATAGTGAGCCACGAGATTAATGTTTGAGCAGAGAAAGCTACTTGTAAAACACCCAGTATTTCATTCATATCCATTTTAATTGCCTTGCATGGATCCAAATGAGTTCCATTACAGCAAGTCGATGTGTGAGAGTGGAAATCTATGGACAACACTGTGTGTGTAATTGCTTGACAACATTCACTTTGCTCTAACACTATTGTGTGATGCGCACAATCGTACACACAGAAGTAAACCTAATTTTAAAGATAAAAATGTCCAAATGAGCCGAGCTTCATTTAGTAACCAAAACACTTAACTGGAAGTCAAAATGTAAATTCATATTCAAATTAAACTCTGCTTATCTGACCTCAATGTTAATTTGCAATCTATGAAACCATGTATTATTCATGATCTATTCTTGGATGAGTGAACAAAGCCACACATTGTAGTTAAAACAATCTGGGTCTTATTTGCACTTCATAACCAAAATGTCACAGAAGTCATGTGTTTGACTATGACAGAGCTCATACGGTAACTTTTTATGAATTTCTTTCTCATTACCAACAAAAAGCAATCACATTTCCTAAAGACACAGAAAGTACAGAGGCTCGTATCCTCTAAGACAAGGATCTGCAGCGAAGTGCAGAACACATTTTAATGATTCACTGTACCGCAAGATCCATATAGAAACTGTTCAAAGCAGAAGATCAGAGGTGCACTCCTTTGGGTAAGGGAGGGAAGCATTGCAGAGTCATTCTCTTTCCGAGGCTAAACCAAAGCAACTGCTCCTCCCCGCACAAAAACTGCTTAACAGTAGAGCTCCTCCACACCTACCTGTTTTAGAGATCTGAAACGCTCCACATCCCTTGGGAGGAATTCTGTTGCTAGTCTTTCTTCAATATATCTGCTGATGTGATCTTCACTGAGCAGAAGTGCAAGTCAGAAAGAGCCTCTGTGGACTCCTACTGCGAAAAATAAGTTACATTTGATCTAAAAAAGTGGCAAACCGTAGAAATCTATTCACCTCGAATGGTTTTACCTTGAAGCATGAGAGAATGTTGGCCAAGTTAAAAATAGAGCCTTTCCAGTCAATGTAAATTCACTGGAGAAGTGATGGGAGGCTGGATGGGTAGCTGGTCAGAGTCCAAAAGCACTTGGCAGTGAGGACACTTACTCAATATTGCGTGTGTGACCTCCATACACCATCTCATTTAACATAATCATGCATAGACCATAGGGCTGCTTGATTATGGCAAAAATCATAATCTCGATTATTTGGGTCAATAATTGTAATTGCGATTATTAAATGCGATTATTAAATGCGATTATTCATTGCCTTTGAAAACATCCATTTATTCGAGAAAAAACATTTGAACAGTATGTTTTTAACAGTTGATTCCCCTGAACTTTAAGTATAATTCAACTGAAAAACCCAAAAAAAATTATAAAAAAAAAAAAAAAAAAAGTAATAATAAAAAAATAATCGTTTTATTTCGATTACATTGTTTTCGTAATCGTTGCAAGCCATAATCGTAATCGCGATTAAAATACGATTAATTGAGCAGCCCTAATAGACCATCAAGACACATAACTTATCCTAGGACACACAATTTTTCCCTTTAAACTGTGGGTTTTCTCTGGAAGTTTTTCCTTGTACGATGTGAGGGTCTAAGGACAGAGGGTGTCGTATTGTCATACTGATATTCTGTACAAACTGTGAAGTCCACTGAGACAAATGTAACATTTGTGATATTGGGCTATATAAATAAACATTGATTGATTGATTGATTGGAGGGAAGGGGGACGCCTCGAAATTTCACTGTGATTATCATCAGAGTGAAATAATTATCATCATCAACAGAATCCTCACCATGTATAGAGAAGCAACATCTGTCTGACTTTTATCAGAGCATCGAGTCAGGCGGTCTGAACCAGGAAGGAGAAAGTCAGAGGCAGTGAGCACTTAATAAAAAATAACCTTACATGTACATCTTATTTTTCTTTTTCTTCATCTTTGCCCGACTCTCTGAAGGTGGAATTGACTATTTTATTAAAAACACTTTAGAATCACTGCAGAGATGTACTCTCAACCTTTATTTACCATTCTCCTTTATTTATATCTGTTTGCAACCAACAGTCTAAAACTCAGAGAACGTGAACCTACTAATAAAACTAGAAGGGCAGCAACTAAATCAAACAGCCATAGTATGGTGCACAGATTTTTAAGAATAGTTCTATATTCAAGGAGACATTATTATTCGCTTTCCTGCCAAGAGTTAGAGTTTGTGTGTATGTGGATGAGTCTTTATGTTAAGCTAAGCTAACAAGCGGCTGTCTATAGTCTCATATTGAATGCAGAGATATGAGAGCATAACGAAGCTTCTTTTAAACTCTAAAAGTAAATAAGCACATTTCCTGAAATTGTCAAACTATTCCTTCAATTCTTCAAGTGTGATCATGCGTTAACAAGTCCACAAAGGTGTCATTGTGAATGCAAACGCAGTATTTTTGTGTGTCTGTAAATAAAAAAAGACATAATTTTGTGATTGAGTGTGAAGGAGGAACTACTGATATAAACGTGTGATGTTATTAAGTCGTTGGGGCTTGAAGAGAGTTGTCACTTGAACATCATCTTTTAAACACACAGAAACAGTTTCACACCACCACCCTTCTCATCCGCACACACACACACACACACACACACACACACACACACACACACACACACACACACACACACACACACACACACACACACACACACACACACACACACACACACACACACACACACACACACACACACACACACACACACACACACACACACACACACACACACACACACACACACACACACCTTGAGATTGTAATCAGAGAGCAGCCCTGTTAGTGCTGACCAGGCCAGGGCTTTACTTAGCCAATGTGTGCGTGTCTAATCAAGGATGAGAGCAAGTGGTGACAGAGCGAATGTACCAATTAAGCGGGCTGATTGGGCTCTATTCCACTGTGGCAAAAACAATCTCTCCCACAACAGATTGCAATCTGACAGCACCAGATGTAATTCATTAATTATACTGATAAAAACGCCTCAACTCCATAATCCTCCAATGCTGCTTTTCACTTTTGTTAGTTTGCCGTTTTTATGATGAATTATGGATATTTTCCTGAGGTTGTCTGTTTAGCGGTGCGACGTGCAGTCAGGGGAGGCATGAACCTCACCGCACGTCACGTGTGTGAAGCAACTTCTGGAATAAAAGTTTTAAAGTTATTTTGAGAAACAAATGTTTGCCGTTTTGTTTGCAGATCTGGTATTAAGTCCGGATGACTCCTCCGAGAGGTTAAACATTGAGAGTCAATTTAGTCCTATACATACATCTCATTGAAGCTCTACCAGGAAAAATGGTTAAAAGTGATATGCTTTGAAGCAGATAATGAAGTCGATTTTTGCGCTAAGTTTGGGTTTAAATGCACTTACCGCCACAGTTTCATTTAATAGGCTTTTCATGCTGACAAAGTTTGGTGATGTGTCCGAGAATAAAGAAGTGTTGTTGCAGCTGCTTGAGGCCAAGAGGAATGAAGGGACAGTTCAGATGGAAGTGAGGGTGTGTGTGAAGGGGTCTGGGACTGCCCACCTTGTCAGAAAGGTTCTTGAGTGCTTCCCTCAGTCCAGAGGAGGAGTGCTCCTGGGCGGCCTGGAGGAGCTGGTCCGCTAAGATGCTGATGAGCGGCTGGAGGAGGCTCACGGTGCTGAGGACCTCCTGAGCTTTGGCTGTGTGCTCGGGGGAGTAGTAGATACACTGGTAGGCAGTGCTGAAGCTGTGGTGGAGGAAAAAACACATTAAGATTTGACAGCAGCTGTACTTTCATGGTCATGCACTGAAATGATATGAAATACACATGAAAGTGATCTGATTTAAAAAGAACTGGGCCACACTTGGTTGTAATGAGAATGTAGACATACAATGCTGGACAGAAGCTCCTCATATGTTTGTTTAGACAACTCCTGCTGGTTTTCGCAGTGTCCACTTGCCATCGGCGTTTGCCAAAACTAGCAGAGTAGGAAGAGACAGTATTTGATATCAAACAAGCTCCAAGCTGTACTGCAGCATTTACTGGCTGACCTGCTCCATATGGGTTCAAGACATGTTGACACAAAATATCCAAAACACACACAACTGATCAACAACAGGTTTCACATTTATTCCCCATACACCACCACCATCTCTAATAAGGGCTGCTAATGTATAATGGCATTTTAAAGTTATAACATTGCTGGGATGGAAGATATGAAACATTTTTCTATTAGAAAAGCAATTATCTCTTTGCCTATGGTGTATATAATGGACGTGATGCACCATGTCTAGTTGATAAAACACCGCCGACCTACACCTGTATTAAGCCTAAGTGCCCTCCTGTAAATAACAAACACAACCTTCCCTGACAACGATCAATTGCCTCTAATTGTATTTGCCTTTCATCACAGGTGTGAATCAGTTCCTGACCATAGAGATACAATTAAACACAGCAGCGCTCTGGAGCTTGACAAATGACACCTCTTATAGTTATCTAGCAACAGAATAAATGCTCTACAAACAACTCTTTATTCGTTTGATTAAGAGTAGTGATTATCAAGAACACAATGTCAAATGGCTATTTTCTGTTTAGAGGTCAAGCAATGAGAAACAGACAAATAGGGGTTGTTATGGTTTATTAAAGAGGCCCTATTTTGCCTTTTGGGTTTTACCTTTCCTATTGTGTGTTAGGTTTTTGTGCATGTCAATGGTCTGCAAAGACTAAAATCCACAAGTTCACACAAGAGGGAGTTTCTCCCTCGTAAACACTTCCCCCTGCCTGAATCCTTTGATAACTTCCGCAACATTGTGACATCACTATGTAACACTGGCGCTTCTATCTGCTATCCAACACATTGTATTTCATAGGATAAGGGGTGGGACATCTCAAAGCAAATGACCAATCACAACAGAGCCGGCCAGCTAACCAATCAGAGCAGACTGGGCTCTGGTTTCAGACAGAGGGTGAAAACAGGTGCTGCAGTATCAGAAAAAATGGAACACTTTTTGAACATGTCACAGTAGAGGCACAAAATCACAAATCTAAATCTGTAAATGAGCATAATATGGCCCCTTTAACACTTTGTTATGGGGCACTCTGAGGTCACTACATCATGCATCTTCAAAATGTATAGCAGCAGCGCTTTCCAGGTACCAAGCCTGAACTGTCAAATTGGACCTGCAGTCCAATGTCAACCCATTTTCCCTTTATGAATAATTAATACCTTTTTCATTTCCAGGTAGCTATTTAATCTCAGACAAAACACCTTTTGTCATTTTCTAGATTCAGGGCAAATCACTCCAATCAAACATTCTCCTCGGGTGAAGTTCCCGTGACTTTCAATGAGTTTCCGCGGACTTCCTGCCATCAGATGTAGCGTGGAGCGCGGCAGTCATTTGCAACCCTCCCAGCTAGTTTAGAGTCAGCTCTGCAAGCCTCTATGTAGGCCAGACCCCAGAGCCACATCCTAAGGCATAATTGACATAAGAGAGAGAGCGAGAAAGGAAGGGGGGGGGGAGTATTCTCTGCAGTACTGCTAATATTTTCACTGAGGAAACAAGTGCTTCTTGTGTGGAACAGCACTACCTGATTTATCCATGTGTGAAAATCTGAGACCATAAGAAATGTACTAGCCACTAACTAAGTCTTTGACCGGCTACATTTAAAATCCTGGCCTTGTCATTACGGCTAATGAGGTCCCCAGAAGACTACCACCCACAAGCTCAAGGCTAATCAAAGGAATCAGTAAGTGAGAGAGACACACAGGGCAAACACCAACATGTATACTTGCACACTTCTGTTATCCCCACTTCTAAAACCGTACCTTCAAATGCTTGGATTTCAGCCACAGAGAGAATACCATAATTGAATAATTTACTGCAACAAAGTGAAGTCTGTAAACCCGTTTCATCCCCTGTGAGCTTACATTCGTCTTGTTACATTACACTGAACTAAAGAACCAAATCCTGAAGGACTGCAACTATTCAGATACTCCAGAAAGGAGGCAAAGGAGAAAGTTGCTGGAAGAGGACAATTGCTTCAGCGACTGAGATTCAATAACAGCCCTGTTGACTCATAAGTACAAATCCAATCCCATTAGGGAGCCTATGCAGGCAATAATGAATGTTGGGACTTGCCACCTGATGCTAGACGACAGAATTGATCCTCACTAAGGCTGGCTGTAGCGAGGAGCTTTAATTGTCTCATCAACATTGCTGTCAGTCCAAATGGGTCCACCCAGACGGCAAACCATGAAAAGGTAAAACAGCAGAAATCTGTGACTGCAAACCTGATGAGAGGCGATGCGTTTCATACGACCATCTGATTGTCATCCACAGGCTTGGGAATGTTGTCTATCCCTGATGTCATTTGGGAGTGCTGTGTGCCAAGTTTCTTTTAAAACATTGTTGTGTCTCGGCAGATTTGTTAATATTATTTCTCTGTTTAATTTAAGTCCGTGTCTGCTACCCTTTTTGTTGTCTGCCATTTCCTGTTTTACTTTGTCATTTCCTTTCTCATTTTCAGGTAGTTCGACTCCTACCTTGTCACTATGCTCACGGACCTGATTACCTGCCCCGCCCTTATTGTTTGCACCTGTAGAGTCCCTTGTTTGTGTATATATTCTGTGTGTTCCCTGTGCCCAGTGCCAGATCGTTTTTGAACCTTGTGTTTGTTGCCTTGCTTATTACCGCAAGTAAAAACCTTTTTTAAATCATCTTTTGTCTGGAGTCGTGCATTTGGGTCCTATCATCTTTTGTGTTTGCCCCAGTCGTAACAAACATGGTGCCAATAAAACAGGGGTTGGACAAACAACAGAATCCAACACAAGAGCAACACATACTACCTTTGTGAAACTTATACAAAGTATATTTTGTTGAACTGTAAATTCAACATATGACTGATATATACTCATAAAAGGCCTCCTCTTTCACAAATACTTTACTCATGTTCAAAGGAGCTCCCAGAGAAAAAGGGATAAAAAAGCGTATTTACCGTTTGTTTGAAAACTGAACTGTTTGATTCAGTATATCAATGCAGTTTCCATTTGATCAAACCATTGTGAGCGTTTGATTTCAACAGATAATGTTTGCCTTGTAGCTCTTCTATATTATCTGGAATGATCACAAAGACAGCGGAAAAACCTTTGAAAATAAAATAAAAGGTTGGATGGCTATTAGTAGTATACGTCTGCAGACTCCTTTAAACAGGAGCACGCATTTATTATTGTTCATTGGTATTCATCAAGTTATGTCAGCCATTTGTCCTGCAACTATGTCAAGTTTGCAAGCAAGTTATGAATATGTATGTGTGTGTCTATAGACCTAGGAGACTCATTGACTCTCCATATTAGAGCGCTTCAGGAGAACTGCTCTTCTTGTTTTTCCCTCAGAAAACAAACTGACACTTGTCTTTGGAGTGTTTTAAACTTAACGATGCAATAGTTCAATTTGACATGCTGCATGTGAAATAAACATCAAAGAAACTCTCACTTGCAGGCAGACTTATGAGTGGAGATTTCAGATTATCTCAAACAAGAGCTACAAGAGATGAAAAAGTAGTTTTTGTGCAGACTGTGCAAAACTGCAATACACAGTGTACTTAAAGTGGACCTATCATGCTATATTTGAATAATATATTGTACGGCCATACCTATATAAAACATGTCTGTGAAGTTCTTTTTTCAAAATACCAAACAGATCCTGCATTTTAGCCATGCCTCATTTCGCTCTATTTGCTCTATTCCAGCCCTGTCTTCACAAGGGCTGATTCTGTGGCAAATGAGCTGCAGCTGACCACGCCCCCCTGCAAAGGAAGGGGGCAAGGCACGAGCGTCACGTTACCATGCTGTTACCATGCTGTTGCCATGCTGTTACCATGCCACGGCAACCTCTCATTCCCCTGATAGGTGGAGAGTTGCCCATATAGGCGGAGCTCTCCGTTTCTGACGTCAGAACAATTTCAAATCTGTATCAGTCTGTATCAGATCCGTTGCAGCCCCGTTTTTAGAGATTTGGGTATGGAGGAAAAGAGAGAGGGTTGTATTTTCTGACACTTGGTGAGTTCCCTGACACACCGGGGACACATATTCCTGTATAAAAGACGTACAAAAGTGCATTTAGCATGATAGGTCCCCTTTAAATTATATATGAGGAATCATTATCTCATTATTCTTACAGTGACCAGCATACTGTACCTACAGCTGCATGCACGCTAATAGCAGTGCACTGTGCATGGTACTCCCAGGTTTTATGATATTTTGGTAACACACAAACCCTTTTAGTTATGTTTTACTGACCTGCAGACGAATCCAATAGTAATATTCCGATGATGGCACTAATTTCAGGCTTCAGAAAGTCAATTTTAACATCAGATTTATATTAGCATCTCTCAACCCAACAGCCTGCAGGAACAAATACCTTCACTTTTAGCTGCATAACTACCTATAAAGGATTGAATTTCATCAAAGGTCCTTAATTTGTGTGACACTTTGTCGAACTTCAATACATGATCTTCATTTTAATAACAGCCTTGGTTTGTTATAGAAAACTCATTACTGCACTTTTGAGTTCAAACGGAAAACTAATGGTCCACCCAGAACATCTTTTTGGTCCCTGTAGAGAAAGCTGTGAAGTTATTGGTGCATTTAAGCTAACTGAATGCAACCACTTTAGATTCCAAAGAAAATAATGAAGTATCAGAAACAAACAATAGAGGATGCTGCGGGATATCTCTCATGATCAAAACAAATAATTCAACCCATTATAATTGCAACTCTCTTCCTCCAGTGAGAGAACATTGCTTTCCTCTCACTGTTGAAGCTCCTCCAGAATCTATTACATGATGTCTGTACATCATTGTGAGGCGAGGAATACATTTTAAAATAATTTCTGCCGTACCCCAACACACTCACTTATAATGTATGATAATGGAATTTTTTTAATCCCCCTCATTTCCATGTGCACCCTGGGAGTGCCA